GTCAAAGCCTATTACACAAAAGTAGAAAAGGCCACAACATTTTAGGGAGGTCAGAAATCTGCTGATGAGTAAGTGAAATCCCTCAAGCCTGCATTACTGAGAGGCCTTTAGACCAGCATCTCTCAACCTAGGCACTAGGGACATTCTGGACTAATTCTTTGTCGTTGGGAGACTGTCTTGTGCACTGCAAGATGTTTAGCATCGTCCCTGGCCTCTATCCACTAGATGCCAATAACACCCCCTTTCTCAGCTGTGACAACCAAAAATGTCCCAGACATTACCAACTGTCCTGGGAAAAAGCACCCCCTGTTGAGAACCACTGCTTTAGACTAGAATCCACTCCCAGAAGGGAATTTACAGGGAAGTCTAGCCAGGATGCTTTCCCACTCTCCCAGCTCTCCCCATCCTCCCTGCCTCTGAGCAGCATGGAGCACAAGGATGGTGGACCTATGGGCATCAAATGCCCGAGGAGACTGGCATGCCAATGGAATCATGACCCAGGGCCAACGTCACCAGGTGTAAATTAGGTGCTGGTTCCCAGCGGGCTCTCCTTGGGTTGTGCCAACCTCTCCTCCACATTACAAATTCATAGCTCTCTGCTTTGGAGATTCGAGGGAAATAGGAAGTGAACCCCTCTCTCCCCCCCAGGCTGTGACTCCACTACGTTCTGTGGGGACTGAGCTACTTGCAGAGGTGATGGGGCCCCTGGAACATGGGAAGACAACTTGACATTTGACTGCTCGGTTCATGTGGAGCTATCCTCGATTCTACATTTCTCTAGCAGGACCCGATTTGGGCACTGATTCAGGGAGATGGCAAGAAGGAAAAAAGAGAGGTGGTTTCCCCAGGGGGTATTCAAAAAAGGTTCAGGGGAGTTTATCCATCAGTCTTCCCAACTATTCGCTCATCTGTCTGCACACACTCACATGCCTTTCTCCCGGGTTCGCCCTCCTGAAGTGTATTGCGAGATAAAGTGTGGGGGAAAAACAAAATGTACAAGTCAACCAATTCCAATCTACAACCTCAGGGATGCCTTCCAATGCTTAGAGGGTGCCGTTGCTCCTTTTCTAAAGAATCATCAATGGGATAACATGGAATGCCTCTGTTAGCACAAGGAAATTGATCAAAAAGAAAAGAGCACCTATCTCCTCAAGCTTCCTTAAAAAAGTCTTTAAAAATAAGAAAGATGCTACCCAATGGCAAGCAAATGTCTCTTAAATAAGCCAGAGAAAGACAAGTATCACATGATCTCACATGTATGTTAAATCTTATGAACAAAATGAACTGATGAACAAAATAGATCCAGAGACATGGAAGCATGGAACAGACTGACGAATCTCAGAAGGAAGAGGGTGCAGGATGTGGGATATGGGAAGAGATTAACCAAGGAGCTTATATGCATGAATACATAACCCATGGACACAGAAAATAGTGCGGTAGGCTGGGGGGTGGGGGGGGGGTGGTCAGGTGGAAGGGGGCAAAGGGGGACATCTGTAATACTTTCAACGATAAAGATAAATTTTTAAAAGTAGTTGCATTGACATATAGTTTAGCTAGGATAGATGGGTAAGTAACATGGTGGGATTTTATCATCGGGTCAAGACTGAGTGCTGGGCCACCCACTTTCAACCTGTTGAGATTGAACTCAATGTTCAGATTATACTTTTGTCTGCTGTTACAGACACTTTCTAGAGTGTTACTATCCCCGGTGTGATCAATTCCTACAATATTTGTGGGAACCCCAATCTCTTCTCCCCTCCCGTTCCCATCAGTACGGGATTCTCAGGCAGCTCCACCCCAGGTATCTCCAGGCCCTCCCTATTTATCAATGCCAACTAAGGATTTGCCCTGACACCAGGGAATCACTGAAACGTTAACACTTCTACCCGCTGGAAGTTCAGGTTAGACAGAAGGGAGCTGAGGACAACTGGCTTACCTTTCCTGACGCTCTCTGAGGAAACATAGAAATTCCCAGGCCGCTCTTGACTTTTTTCTGCAAAAACTGTGAGATAAACAGTATTCTAGGTAAAAGCCAAATCATATCTCTTTCTAAAGGGCTTTAAAATGTCTTACACATTTACAAAAATTACCAAGACCTTGTTCAAAATTAATAATCATAATGACCTCACACCTTGGACTACTGTATGCATATTATTACATATTTACGTATTATTATTATGTAAATCAAAACTCTCAGAGGAGCAACTAATGAGCAGAAGTTGCAGGGATTAGGCGCTGAGGACAAACCAAACAGACAAGGTCTCAAACCCAGAAAGACAAAGCCAGATCATTACAGAGAAGGGTGATGTAAACGACATGTACTGGATCCCCGAATGCCTGAAGCGAGCCATGGAACACCTTGAAGCTTGCAAATAAAAGGAAGTGCCACTTAACATGTCAGCGAGTGGCATAAGACAGAACTCGGAGCTGTGGAACAGGTGCAATGGGCACAGCTCCAAAGGAATTTAGATGAAGTCACTCATGAGTGGCAGACCCATAAAGGCTAATAGGGGAAAACTTAAGTGACAAATGGCCACCTAGTGGTCTGCACAGTGGTTAAGACTCCCTGGGCTCTGCACAAGAGTACCTGGGTTCTAATTCCGGCTTGCACTTACGAGCCATGTGATCTTACACAGAGGCTCGACTTCTCCTGGCCTCAGTTTTGCTGTCTGTAGAATGAGAATGATAACAGTATCTTCCTTGTTGGGTTGTTGTGGGGATTACATGAGTGAATACATGGACAGTACTTAGACAAGTGCCTGGCACATGTAAGCTCTCAATTGTAGCTTTGATTATTATTATTCATATCTAAACCTTGAAATTGATGCTGATAGGACAGTAATACCTAGACATGCTACTTAACACGACTTAAATCAGTACAGTGCTTTACAGTTTATAAAGTAGTTCCCCGTGTATTATTTCATTTGACTCTTACAATAAGGCTATAGAGAGTATTATTATGCATTAATATGATATATTCATCAGTGCATGCATATATTATTATGATACCCATTTTGTAGATGAGGAAGCTAAAGAGAGTGCAATGACTTACCCAGTGTCCTATACTGTGCAGCTGGTAAATGTAAGGGCTAGGGCATGAACCCAGGTTTTCAGGTTTCCAAACCACTGCCCTTCTTGTCATCTCCTCTCTCCTTCCCTTTGCTTACCCACCGTTTCTTAGCAAGTCCGTTAGTGCTCTTTAGGAATCACCCATGCCCCTGTTCTAACTGCCTCCCCGAAATGAGCTGTGCCATCCACACCTCATCCTTCACCCATGGACACAGACAATAGTGGGGCATGCCGGGGGAGGAAGGTGTGGTCGGTGGAATGGAGGGGAAGGGGGACATCTTTAATACTTTCAACATTCACCCTCTGCCATTTAGGCCTATTTGCATGTCTCTTCATTGGTTCCCTTACAAGCAGATCTGGGACAAGGATCCAAGCACAAGTAGTCTATGTTCAAATCCTGGCTCTGCTATATGGTAATCAACCGACTTCTATAAGCCTCCATTTTCCTCATCTGTAAAATGGGTATGATAATGGTCCATACCTAATAGATTATTGTAAAGATTAAATGACATGCTCTGGATAGAGCACTCTTGGTGTATTTCAATAAATGTTCGCTATTAAGAATTAATAATAATAAGAGTTTCAAGAGATAAAAATTTAGCAGGATTCTTGTCTTGTGGACTCCCAGGAAACTTGTGTACCTCTGTCTTCATACTGTGTACGAATGCTTTCAGGGAGGCCAGAACTGAATCTGATTATTGCCCCTAGTCTAGTTCTGGAATCTGCCCCAAGCTCTGACCTGTCCCTTGTGGGTGGTTGGAGACCCTCAGACCATCTGAGTGATGCTGGTTCAGAAGCTAGAGGATCTAGGGACTTCCTGCTGAGCAGCCCTGAATATGCCCCTAGGCCTTATTCCCTGCCACACTTGCCTTTGGAAATGTACGGTTCATTGTCGGGCACCTGGTGAGCACCAGAAGCACTGGCCTCTGGCCTGGGCACTGGGACGGGGGGCCTGCTGGCCAGGTCCAGGGAAAAGGCCTCATCATCATCCACTGTGTGATAAACATCTTCCGGGTCATGATGGGACGGCTCCTTCTCCAAAGGGGCGATGCCCACATTATTGCCTAGAAACACAGTAAAAGGTGACTGAAAGCAGTGGTTGAGAACCCCATGCAAAGCAACTGAGAAAACACTGATGCCACCTTCATTTGCCCCCATCAATGCAGCAAAAGGAAGTGAGCTCTCGGCTCTAGCATCTTAATTTTACTGCTGAGACTCGGTTATCCATCCCATTAGAACTAAGGCAAGGGGAGTACAGCCCTAAAGCCCAAGGACACTTGGAACCAACCCCTGGGTCTGGGCAGCACTGTGAGGGTGGCTCGGAGGCCTCACCACCAACAGCGCCAGCACCCTCACCTTCAGCATCAAGATGACTATAGCAAACCCCTCCCAGGGACTTCCTCTGGGCCCAGCACTGCTCCAAGTGTATTACCCACATCATTTCCTTTGATTGTACAACAACGCTGAGGAGTAACTGTAATCATTATTCTCATTTTGCAGGTAAAGAACCTGGGGCCTTGGGGATTTAAATAACTTGCTCAGAGTCGCTTAGAGCCAGATTGGGGCCCAGGAAAACTGGTTCCAGAGCTTGTGCTCCTAACCAGCAAGCTCTACTGCCTCTCTCGCAACCTTCGCCGCCACTCTGCTCCCCAGTGACCAAAGGACTTAGGACTGAAGCTTGCCTCCCACCCTCTGTCCCTCAGATTTTCTCTGCCTCCTTCCCGGTAACAGGCTGAAATGCTCTGTGCTCAGACCCGAACACAAGGTCCTCTTGGCTTCGGGAATCTCAGCAGACCTGTATGCCAGCCACAGCTCATACATGAGAGCTGTGTGACCTTGAACATGTTATGTAACATGTTCTCTGAGCCTGATTTCCCTCTGAGACCTATGCACAGGAATACTGTGAGGAGAAAATGAGATAATAAAGGGAAAGCACCCTGCTCAGTGTATACTCATAGTAGGGGCTTTCCTTTCCCTTCCTTCTTCTCTCTAGCACCATTCAGCCAACAAATCTATATGAAATGCCTGATTGAGATGCAGGGATTAACGAAGCTTGGGTCTTCTTCCTATGGGAGTTCTAATCTAGTATTTATTAGGGATTTTTCATTGCATTTTCTGAGCTGTGGGGAGACTGCTCTTGACTTCCCCGTGATTTGCCTACTAATACAACTTTTCTTTGCTCTTTGCTGTCAAAACTATTTTTCCCATCCTGTGTTCTTAGCACCCTGTCTTCTACACCTATTTGACCAATAGACCCCACTATAAATTATAAATGATTGAACAGAGTTAAGGAATTAGTCATATAACTTAACACTTTCCACCTTTGACACCTTCAATAATGATAAGAAAAGAATAACAACAATAATACACCTTTATTACCTGTTCTAGTTCTGGCCCTGCTCTGAGGCCTAATGTACAATAACTCATTTAATTCTCACAGCATTCATCTGACTTTACAACTGGGGAAACTGAGATACAAAGGAGTTGAGTAACTTGCCCAAGTTTTTCCTGCTAACTGAGGAGGAATTGAGGCTGTGTTCTTAGCCACTATGCAATTCAGCCTCAACTTAATAATAGTGGTGCATATTCTCCTTCATCAAAGAGAAAGTAAATCAAATCTTATTTTTCTTTGTGTCCCCCAGCCCAACATCCACAATAGTGATTTGCTCATAGTTAGTACTCAATAAATTTTGATTAAATAAAAATAAACATGTGCATTTAAAAAAAAAAAGGTCTTGCTGAAGGCAACTTGTTTATCCAGATGAATTGCTGCAGTGGTGGGAATTTCTGGCCTCCTTGTAACAGGCTGATGGGAGAGCCAGTGGGGTAGAATGCCTTCAATCACCCATATGCCATGTACATGGAAGCCCATTCCTTGAGTGGAGCAACTTTCAGATGTAACCAGGCAATGTCTTACATGTGTTTTTCTTTCTCTCTTTTGCTTCTCTGCTCATAGCTACAATTTACCTTCTAAAAACTTGCGGATCATAGAGTCCTTAGTGTTCCGGGAGAAACTTTCTCCAGCGATTGGGTTAGATGTACTGGCCTGAAGCATTTCAACATCTAGAAGGAAAAGGAGACTAAGAGGTAATAAGTTGTTCTTCCACACAAGCAAGGAGATTTTTCAGATGAATATAGAAATTTTAACAAATCAAGAGATCATGAACCAAGAGATTCAAGAATTCATTAATCTATTCATCTACTCATCTATCCATCATACTTATCTATCCATTAGAGACCTGGTGCACAAATTCGTGCATGGGTGGAGTCACTCGGCCTGGCCAGTGATCAGGGCCAATCATGGCCATCTTGCCCAGTCCCAATCAGGGCGGTGGCAGCCAGCTGATTGGGGAGAGACCACAGGAGGTTGGCCATCCGGGAAGGGACCGCAGGAAGGCTCCAGGGCATGTCTGGCCCTCTTACCCAGTCCTGATCAGCCAGACCCCAGCAGCAAGCTAACTACCAGTCTGAGCGTCTGCCCCTGGTGGTCAGTGCACATCATAGCAACTGGTTGAGCGGTCGAGTCAACCGATTGGTCAGACACTTAGCATATTACACTTTTATTATATAGGATTCATTCATCCATCCATCCATCCATCCATCCATCCAACTACTCAATAAGAACACAGAGTAAATGTGGAGTATAAAGAAGAGCAACATTCACAATCCTCAGGCCCTTTCCTGGACCACAGGGCTCAAAAGGTTAGAATATAGTTTGAAGTTGAAGAGTATACAATCTGGTGAATTAGTATTCTTTGTAAGTGTGATATAAGGTATTGCATAGAATTCCTCATACAAATTCACCAGATTGTCTTTAACTGGTCCCCAAAGATCAAAGTAGTGAGGAAACAGTATATGTGTGTATAATAATGAAATTCAAACCATTTTTTCTGAAAGTTTACTATTCAACTTCAATCTACATATTTTGCTTAAGCAAGTAAGTCCTCAGTAATTGTGTAATATGACATAGTGAGTACAACCTCTTGATAATATCAAAGCTCTACTTTATTTTCTTTTTAATTTAATTTTATTGCTTAAGGTATTACAAAGAGTATTACATATGTCTCCTTTTTTTTTTCCCCTTGACTTTCCCCTAGCCTCTCCTACCCCCCAGTGTCTTGTGTCCATTGGTTATGCTTATATGCATCAAAGCTCTACTTTAAACACAAGGCTGAAATTTTACTCCAAAACACATATTTCAAAGTCATAAAGTACTGTACGGTTGGTTGCTCAGGTTTAAGTGGATTTACTGTGGTAACTGAATGGTTTTCACACAGTTTTCGTCTCCATGGGCTTATGCTTAATAGTGAAAGCCGAAGGTCAAGGTGCTTTCTCCTTGTAATGAACCAATTACATGGGTGACCTAAAATCCAAGTTCTTGTTTTGCTTTTGAGATGGTATTATTAGGATTTTGAGGTGGTACTATGTTGCTAGAAGTGGCTTTAACACATACATTCTTTCCAATTGTTGCATAATGTTCCGTTTTTAAATAAACCACAATTGATCTACTCTTTGTTGTACATGATTCCATTTTTTCTTTCTGTTATAAACAATGCCATGGTCACATATTTTAAAATTAAGCCTATTCTTTCAAATGCAAATGCCTTTTGAGTCCTGTGGTTCAGGAAAGGGCCTGAGGGTTGTGAATGAGGCATGGTCTTTGGTATCCTGGAGACCTAGGTTCAAGCCCTGGTTCTGACACTTACTAGCTCTGCATCCTTGGGCAAGCTACTTGCTATCACTGAGCCTCTATATCTCCATCTGTAAAGTGGGGATAAATAACAGTATCTACCTCATAGGAAGACTGTATGTGCCAATTGAGACAATGCTCATAAAATGCTTATCAACAGTGCCAGGCACTAGAAATTAGTGGTAATCATTGTCATTATATTGAGGTAACCTAGACAGTGTATTGGTTTCTTGCTGTTGTAACAAATTGCCACAAGCTTAGTGGCTTAAAACAAGAACATAACATATTATCTTACAATTCGGTAGCTCAGAAGTCTGAAATGGCGCTCACTGGGGTAATCTCAAGGTTTTGGCGGGACTACATCCCTTTCCAGGAGCTCGAGGGGAGCGTCTGTCTCCTTGACCTTTCCAGCTTCCAGAGGCTGCCTTCCTTCCTTGGCACCAGGCCCTCTTCCTCCAGCTTCAAAGCCAGCAGCGTTGGGCAGAAAGCTCGGCTGAACCAAGTCCTCCTCATGGCGCCATCTCTGACTTCTTCTTCCATTTTTAAGGACTCTGTGATTACACTGGACCCACCCCGATAATCCAGTACATTCCCTTTATCTTACGGCCAGCTGATAATTCCACCTGCAACTGTAATTCTTTGCGATGTAACCGAGCATATTCACAGACTCAGGGACATTATTCTGCTTACCACAGCTGGGACCAAATTATCAGTACCGTCAGCCTGGGAGTAGGACACACTCAATTCAAGCAAGACCATCATGTCCACAGAGGACTCAGCAGCCCTGGCCTGATACAGGGACTGGTCTCTATTGAGTCTCTGGATGTGCACTGCCTTCAATGAAGTTACCTGAAATTGATCTTATTGCCATTTATATTTTAAATAAAATGGTTCTTTTCATACCAAATTGAATGTAAATATCTTTGAATTAGACCAGGAACAGCAAATACATACATTGGCCTCCATGTCCCTATTCTATACTTACGGCAAACATTACTGATCCATCATAGCATCGTTCCTGGCCTCAGAATTCTTCTCAACACAGCTCCACAGCTACTCAATACCAGCTAACTGACACTGGCACTTGAAATTATGTTTAAGACACTATTACCATACCTATCTCAGGCAGTAAGTCCTAGTAGTAGTAGAAACTACCTTTACAATAATAAAGAAAATAAAAAGTCCCTCACTGAAGGAGTTCATGAGCAGCAATAAGATTCTCTCAAACTCTAAATTTGACAACCCAAGAGTACATACAACCAGGCACACCGTGAGCCACACACGAGTGACTGAAACACAGAAAATTCTGAGGTGCAGGGACCAAGGACATTTTGTAAAGGAAAGCAGGACAGTAAATCCCTGCATTCCTGGATGCTTGGGGTTTGTACTTCAGATTCCAAGTGCTTAACCTTCATCCCTCGCCAGTTAAAAATAAACTGAAATGTGCCGAAACCTGCTGGTCTAAGGAGAAAGCGTGACGTTCTTTCATTTCAGCGGAGAGGAAAGAGATAAAAACACAAGGAGCCTCCGGGGCCACAGTCTCCTCCGGGAAGAGGCAGCTGCGGAGTTATCCTGTATTTTACTGAGGGAGTCCATCAGAACGAACCCTTTCCCGGGAGGAAAGACGCATGAACAGATGAGAGGAAGCCTGGCAGGCACTTAATTCGGGAATCAGTCCAGAGGAATAATGAATTTGCAAAGAAGCCCAGGTGATACTCCTCATGGGACACAAATCTAGATTACTTAGCTGCAGTAGAAACTCCATTCAGATTACGTGTTGTTAATTTAATATAAAACCTAATCTGGGTACATAATACAGTAAAACGTCAGATACTGAGAGACTGTTCTTCTGGAAAAGCTCTCAACCCCTGAAAGCAGGCCAACGGAGTGTTGTTCCAGTATTTTCATGGCCAAAAAGAGCCTCAGAGGCAGGAGCAGCGTGACTGCCCCTTTGCAGGTAACCTGAGACCTGACTGGTTTCTAGGTGGAATCGATGCTTAGATTGACCATGTCAATGAGAAAGTCCAACCTTCCCATACCCCAGTGGAGATGTAATGGGAAGGAGACAGAAAGACAGAGAGAGAGAGAGGGAGAGTCACATATATACAGAAAGAAACAAAAAGAGAGATGGGGGAGGGAGAGTTGCAGTAGGAGAGGAACAGAGACAGAAAGACAGAAAGATAGACAGACAGACAGAAACGGGCAGAGAGATAGAGAGGAGGGCAGTCTGAAATCAGAGCAGCTAAGGAATGGTTGGCAATGAAAAAGAAGGGGCTAAGAGTGAAGGGGTTAGGAGAGGCAACAAGTTAAGTTCTGTGGGTTCTGATGCAGACAAGGGCTTCAATGCAGTACTCTGGCAAGCACAGACTCTCTGCCGTGCAGGAAGGAGTGCACGGTGGGGTGCAGTGAGCACCATGACTTGCTAAGTCACCCCACCATTCACCTCCATGGCTGCCCTCTCGGGCACCGTATCCTTTTCCTTCATGGCACTGTCACGGTTTGTAGCTATATATTGCATTAGGTGGGCTCTTTGTTTAACGTCCAGCTCTCCTGCTGCAAGGGAAGCTCTGGAAGGCAGGGATCATTCGGCTTTTGGACTGACTTCTGTCACCTGGCACGGCGACTTAACACACGAGGGGTTCGGTAAACACTGCTGAATGCATGAATGTGTGCGTGCACAAACCAACGAGGAGCACACAGATGAATGCGTGGAGGTATGTGGGCTTTGTGAGGGAATCGGGGCATCTCCCAAGCTGAGAAAAGAGAAGGGCAACTCGGGCAGCAGGAACAGCACAAGGGGATGTGCAGAGGCATGAAAGACAAGTCCACCTGGAGCGGCTGAGGAGTTGGTTCCACCCTGAGGAGTCCCCCACTCAGGACACCTAGCAGATGTCTCACTGCCACCTCTCGGGAAAGGGAATGTCAACCAACTGTTCCACCCCACAAAGTCTAGGATGGCTTCTTATTTCCTGGTGCTCTCAAAGTCAAGAAACAGTTGAGCACCTACTGTGTACAGCACTGTGGATAGCGCATGCTTCCTAGCTGAGGGAGGAGCAGATAACCAGAGAAGCGTGTACAGAAGCACAGCGCACAGTGGTCAGCATGCAGTGCCCAAGGAAAGCATGAGGGAGCACGTTGAATGATGGTGGTGAGGATTTTATCGTATTAACTTGAAAACATTCAATCCAGTAGCTTTCACTGTGTACCTATGCCCCCAACACAATTCCCTGCACATTTGGAGGATCAAAAAGCAACAGACATCAGGAAGTGCCCTGAGCCTCCCTTTGCCCTGCTGGGTCAGTTTCAGGCCTGGACAGGACAGGAACAGAATGAGTTCCTTGCTGGTAAGACCTCATGCCTTGCACCCAGCCCCCTGCCCCTAAAGCATTTATTGGCTCCAGCAGCCAGTGTCTTCCCGAGATGGGAAGCAGGGGGATGGCAGAGCCTCAGCGGCTGCAGGAAAGAAGACTCCTGAGAGTGCAGACAGGGCAGGCGGCACGTTCCAGAAGCAAATCAGTAACCACAATTTTGCTTACAAAGGCGCCTCCTTCAGCTGGGCTCAGACCTGACATGGCTGGGCTGCAAGGCCCTTCACTGTGCCCCAGCTTGGAGGGGACCTAGCTTGCAGAGAGGGGCTGTAATCGGAGAGCTCAGGTAAAGAAAAACTGGAGATGGCCTGTTACAAAGACGCCAGTTACCAAGGGGGTTGCTAAGGGCTAAGTCAGCTCTCTGCCACACACAAACTTGAGCTGCAGAACCCGGCGGAGGGAGCAGGGGTGCAAAAGAAAAGTTCAAGACAGGAGTCACATGAAGCAGAACAGCCTTTCGGATGGATTAGGGTGACTGCTGTGAGTTTAGTTTCTAGGAGGGAGATATTACACATTTCACCTTTTGCCCCTTTCCCCCTTTGAAGAAAGGCAAGCCTCTGAGATATTTAAGCAAAGCTAAATCCACAAGCATATTACCTTGGAAACAGTTGAACAAGGGCCTCCCAGAAATGGTTCCTGAGGCCTTAGTACCCAGAGCCTCAGGGAACCTTTCCAAACAAAGTGTATTACCTAAGTCAGAGGGCCACCAGGACCACCGTATCATTCTCTGAGGCAAGGGCAGGGGCAAAAGATCAGGAGACAGTGAAAACACCCAAAGGGAGGTGTGTCTTGATTTTCATTTAGTGTTTGCATAAGCTTGACCTTAGTGAAGACATTTATTTCTTATATAGTAAGGTGAGAGTGTTGATGGTTTAAATCTGTGAAATCTTGAACAAAAAATTCTCAAGAGAATTGGGAGCAGAGTTGAAGGTTTGATAATATAGAAATGTAATTGCCACCTGGTGGCAGCATATCTAAACTAAAGATCCTGAATGTGAGAGGGTGTGTGCGTGTGTATGTGTGCATGTATGCTTGCAAGCGCGTGCGTGTGTGTGCATGTGTGCATGTGTGTGCGTGTGCGTGTGCACTCACCCACACAAATTCAGGGGGAAGGACAGATTGGAGTAGAATCAAAAATCTCAGGGTCAGAACCCAACCTTGCTCCCTAGACCCCCTCCATTCAACATTATGAGTTTCCCTGACAACCTTCCTACTTAGTGTTTGTTTTAGACTCCCTTTGGAGAAGAGGGCCCCATTACTCTCCCTTTTCCAAAACTCAAGTCAGAAGAGGCAGATTTGTCCCAACACAGTTAAATGACGTCCAAAGCCGCGGTAAGGAGCTGACCTAAAGCCTGCACTCCATGTTTGTCCTGAGAGCAAGTGAATGAATGAAAGAACACTATATTCCTTAAAATGTTATTTGCAGGGCAGAAGTGATGATGCATGGTCTCTGGCTTCCCAACTGGGCAACACTTGCTCTCCAAATGTTCTTTTGTGAAGGGGTCTCTGTCCCAGATTGGAAAGGACTGTGTCTTGGCGCCCCCCTTGTCTTTCCAACTCCAGGAGAAGGGAATAGCTGAAACCCAGTAGATGCTCCAGAAATACTTACTGGGTACATGGAGATGTATGGATGTGCAAGGGCAGGGGGCACCAGAGGCTATGTAAGCTCATGTCTGGGCCGTAGAAAGAGCAAGCAGGAAGTGAAATAAGCCAGTCAGAGGAGGACAAGTATCACATGATCTCACTCATATATGGAATCTAATGAACAAAATAGATCCAGAGACATAGAAGCATAGAACAGATTGCGGAATCTCAGAGGGAAAGCGGGGGAGGATCGATAGGGAGAAGCGATGTATGTATATATGCATAACCCACGGACACAGACAACAGTGGTGAAGGCCTGGGGCGGGGGACAGGAGGCAAGGATCAGTGTTTGGGGAAAAGGGGACCTATGTAATACTTTCAACAATAAAGATTTTTTAAAAAGAAGTAAGACCAAGCAGGGCTGCAGCCACTAAATGGTTTTTCTAAAAGAAACCAGGACTAAACTTCATGGTGTTGGATGGAAATTTCTGGCACAGAATAAAGAATATGGTCCTAGAGACAGAGAGACCTGGGTTCAAATCTGGGCTCCAACAATTGTTAGACTTTGGGAAAGTTGTGTAACCTCTCTGTGCAGCAGTGTCCTCATTCATAAAATGCAGGTTAATAACACATTCTTGTACAGGTGCTTTAAGGATTTGATGAGATAGAGGATAGGGATGGTGGGGGTGACACCCTCTCTCCTCACTTCCCTGCCAGGTCACGCTCTTTCGGAAAGAGCTCCCACCAGTCCTTCCATTCCTCCCAGTCAGGTGCTGAAAGGGAGCTTCTACCACTCTCTCCCTCTTTCTACCCCCTCCCTCAGAGGAGTAGCCAATCTCACCAGCAAGCACCTAACAACCGTTGGACCACACCTTCCAGGTGCTGGGTTTGCAGGGTCAAGGGTGCTGCTAGTGTCAGGGTCTGCCTCTGGCCCCCTTATACGCCCACTCCTCCTGTTGCAAGGCATCCTCTTGGTGCCTGCTTGTCTATTCATGGGTGGGAAAACCAGGCCCACCTCTCTGGGGGCCCAGGGCCCTGCTGTCGTCTTCTCAGGTTGCAAGTTGGCAATGCTCAATCTAGCCCATTCCAGAAAACCCTCCACCAATAAAGCTGATACGTTGATGGGTATTTTGTCTTATCTTTCTTCAATCTATTCATTACACCATAGGAAAGGAGAGTTAAGTCTTAGGCAGTGTCTTGAGTACTTAGCACTGGAAAGCAAACGGTGGTGACATATTAAGAAGGCTCTTAGAGGGCTGGGGGCAGGTGCTCTTGCTTCAACCCTAGTGTGTACACTGGAACCAACATGACTTAGACCAGTGGCTCTCAAGGGGAGCGGCACTGCCCTCTAGAGGGCGTTTGGAAAATCGATGAGAGTGTTTTGGGTTGTCTCCATGATGGAGGGACATTATTGGTGTTTAGCAGAACAAGGGGGAAAGCTACTGGACACCCACAATGTGCGGGACAGCCCTGCACAGGAAGTGTTTCATGTCCCTGATGGCTTTTAAATATTGCCCCAGACATGCAGATAGGCTAAAAATCTGCTTATGATACATATTTATACATATGTGTGTCTGAACGTATGTGTTTATATTTTTATTTAATATTAGAAAGCACAAAGAAAGGTATGAACAAATATACCCACCAAACTATTACAAGTGCTATAATGATTTGGTTGGGTAGAATTATATGGACTTTTAATAACAACTCAGTTATATATTTCTGTTTTGTTTCAAGTTTTTATAAAAATGTATTACTTTTACAATGAAAAGAAAATAATTAGTGTAACCAAAAATGGGCAAAATCTGTTAAGCAATTTACCACAAAAAAGCATGTTCTAGAGATATATTTTGAAAATAAGTTTATTATATACCAATTCAATAAAATCCGGCTACCATAAACAATCTGCTTATCATTTTCTGAGCCCTAAAAGCAAACTTCTTTGTATATAAATACAACTTGTATTTTTGTATGGCTTTAGTATGCACTGAATTTTCACCATTTAGGAAAATTCATGTTCTGATGCCAACACTGTTGGCAGTATCTGAGTCCCCGATGCAATAGATACATGTCGGTCAGCACGTGAGGCCGAACATTGGCAATGATTCTGAGCACAGGCACAGTATCCAACTATCCCATCATGTCCTCCTGGGCAGGCACGCCTGAGAATTGCCTCTCTTTTTTGTTATATCAGTTCTATTTTATATTTCTCATTCCTATTTTACTTAGGGTGTATATTTGATTTCTAGGTGATATTATATATGAAACTCACATCAGGGTAGTAAAGGGGGCATTCATAGAAAATTATTTACTGTAAATAGGGCCCGTGGGGACTGACAGGATTGAAAGCCACTGTTTTAGTGTCTCAGATCACAAGGCAATGCCTTCATCAGCTCTGACTCCCAGGACCTTGCTGAAACTTCCAGTCACGCAATAGCCACAGCAGAGGAAGTTTGGAGAAGGATTCTGCTTGTCTCAACACATGATGGCGGCTCTAACTTTGCATAAAGCAGGATCTTCATCTCTCTGGGGTCAGGTGGCAGTCAGCAGGGACTTCCCCCATCCACCAGAGTGAAGAAAGCCTTTTGTCAGCAGAAACATGGAAGCAGAACTGGGCTGTGCTACTTACAGAGGTCTTCAGTGGCGTCGGGGACGAAGGCGGCCATGGACTCGTACAGTTCCTCATCACAGCCCGGGTTGAGAGAGCATTTCATGAGCAGGTCTGTGGAAAGGTGGGCCATGGACTCATACACGTCGTCGGCCTCCTCCCCTTGCATCAGTTCCTCTTTGATGTGACTCTTCAGCATGTCCACAGTTTCCTGAAAGAGAACAGGGGACCCACAGGCACACTGAGGCACCCCGAGTGGGCTTGTGACTGGCAATGCAAAGGCTCCCATGGGTCAGGGCTTTGGCCCCCAGCACTAAGCACAGACCCACACATCCAGGAGACTCTCGTGAAGATCCAAAGACCAGACGATACAAATGTACAACCCCCTCATGAGCACCTACTGTGGGCCAGGTCCGCTGTTGGGTATTTGACTGGACATTCTACGTCATTCTTTCTACCGCTGCTTGAGAGAGACGTGACATTCTCGAGTTCACAGATGAGAAAACCAAAGCTCAGAAAAACCTACTGCCTTACCGTACACGGGGCCTGCAGTCCTGGCTGCTGAGCTTCCCACTACTCCCTAGTGGTTCCTCAAAAGGGAACAAATGGCACGAGAGGGTGTAACCCTCACTGACGAGCCACATGGAGGTTCAAATGGGATAAATGGGCTGTAGCTAAGGTGTGCTTGCACTTCTGTGTAGTCAGAGTCCCTCAGGAACCTCATTCACTAGTCCCCGCTCCTGCCGGCAGACTGCTCCAGAGCCCTTCTCCAAAGTGCCTCCTCGGCTTTATACCCTGTGTGCCAGGAGAGATGGTGGGGCCGGCTGCCCTCTCTCATCTGGTCTCTAGGTGACTGTGAAGCCGGAGAGCTGGCTTCTCTGAAACCTCTGCACAACTTTTCATGGTAAGAAACTTCAGTGTTTCACAATCCTTATTTCAGCATCAACCCACAGAGACACGCATTTTCATCATCGCTGCCCCGAGAGAGCGAATCTGCTATCGACACTCCGTGTTGGTTTCCTAATGAGACCCAAGGAGTGGACCAGGTAGCAGCTGTGAGTGTTGGAGACTCAAGGTCTGGCATTTGGTTTTGATTTGGTGGAAAGAGGAAATGGGACAGTTCTTAGAGGTCATAAACAACACGAAGGGACAACCTTTTGGTACAATGCTGAAGATGCATTGGTTGAAGGGGATGACAGCCAGAGAACAAGGGTGAAATGAGAAATGTGAGCCAGACTAACTTCAGTGCAAGCTGGACATGCATCCTCCAACCTCCCTGTGACATTCAGTAAGTAGGATAGCAAGCCCCGGCGTTGGCAGAAAACCAGGTTCAAATCCTAGCTCCACCCTTACTAGTGTGTGACACAAGGCATAGTTACTCCATCTTTCTAAGCCCTGTTCTTGATTGTTAGAGGGAGAGAACAATATTGTCAACTTCAAAGGATTGTGGTAAGGATTAAAAGAGATCATGCATTTGCCAATCAAATAAATGTAATAGGTAGCAGTGATTACTATGAACACAGTATTGTCCTTAATAAAAACTATTGGCACGGGAATGAAACACTGCATTTTATACATTTGTGACTTCAAAGTAAAGCTGAGTAAACACTCCCAGATTGTGAGCACCTGTAGCCCCATTTATGTCAACGATGCCCCAAACAGGCATTCAGATTATTCTATTCATTCAACATACTTAGTCACCCCCAGACTTTGGAAAGACCCCTCTACGTGCAACAGCGAGTCATTGTTTTGTAGACTGTCAAATACAGAGCAGAGTTCAGTTTCTGGGGCGGTGTTGGGCTCACTCCTGTCTGGAGATAGAGAGCCAGACAGGATTGTGTTTATTGTTCCTTTTGAGGTCACAACCCTATTCCAGAGGCCGAGGTATTCCTACGTCCTGATAATGGAGGAAAACAAAAAAAAGGGTAGAGTCAGGGGGAAGGGCAGCTGCCTCTAAGACAATGGAAGCAATCCTGGGTATGGAATAAAGTCTAGCCACGGGGTGAGATTACACTCAAAGAAGGACCAGAAGTCGTGATGAAGTGGGATCTGAGGGTCCAAAACCAGATGAGCAGATAAGCTGGGCATATCTACCGTAAGACAGGCAGAGGCTCAGAAAGAGACGAGCTGTCAGCAGAAGGTGGGACTTCACGTTGGACGTCCTGAAACCTCAGGTGCAGAGTTTTATAGTGTTTTCTGCTGAGAAAGGAACCAATCCTAACGCAGTACATCTGAGCCTGATGGTGGGAGAGGCAGCTGGGAGCATCCCACCAAGGTGCCTTGGAAGTGGGTGGGGAGGTGATTGGGGAAGAGGAATCAGCATCAAACCTTCAGTGGATTCATTCCACAAACGCCTCTTTAAATTCTTTAAAGGTGGGCCTCGGCACCTTACCTATCTTGTTTCCTTTTATCCTCAAAATAACATATGGGTAGAGCTATGATTATCTTCCTTCTGAATACTAGGAAACTGAGGAGAGAGAGCGAGAGAGGGAGAGAGAGAGAACACACGATTTGTCCAAAATCATGTGGCTGACAAGTGTTAATATGGGAACCTGGACTCAGGTCCATGTGACTCCAAGGCTCTTCTTTTTTTATTCTCATCCAAGGACATAGTCATTGATTTTTTTTAAAAGAGAAGTGGGGGGAGAGAGAAATGTTGATGTAAGAGAGAAACATTGATCAGTTGCCTCTGCACATGCCCCCACCGGGCCAGGGATTGAACCCAAAACCTAGGTATGTGCCCCAACTGGGAATAGAACCCACAACCTCTCCGTGTACGGGATGACACTCCAACCCACCCAGCCATACCTGCCAGGGCTCCAGGGCTCATTTCTTAAGGCCACACGTACTGGCCCCGCCAGAAGAGCCACACGAGGACATGCTAGAGATGAAATCTGACCATGTCTCTGCTGAAAAGGCAGCCCTAGGACAACACAGTGCATTTCCAATCCTGGGGCCTCTCCCGCCTTGACCTTACCACGTATTCGTCGATGAACTGCCGCAGGTCCCTGAAGCCATGTTTCTCGGCAATGGTGTTGGGGTAGTGGCCGTGTTTGTTGGCCACACTGTATGCTTGTAGGGCTCCCGGGCAGGTGAGCAACAAAGCAGTGAGGTTCTTCAGTCCGTACTTTGCAGCAAAATGCAACAAGGTGGGCAGCTCTTCATCCCTCTGATCTGAAAAAATGTCCAGGAAACTTAATGGGCAGATAACATTGAAGGCAGAGGGCACCCTTGTTCTGGGATTCGAAGCTGGCATGCCTAATATGGCATCTAGCAGGCACTCAATCGTTACTTCTTGGTTGATTGACTTAACATCTGACAACTTCCTCAGGGCATCACTGAAGATTATGCCCTCAGATGACAGAAGAAATGATATTTTAATTGATTAGAAAATCTAATAATACCCTACCTTCTTTCTCTAAAAGGATCAGAGAATCCTGAGAAATAATACTAATGCAAAATGTGATTTTCTAAAGGTGTAAATAGCAGCCACAAAGTACAACAGGAACCATGTTTTGACCTCCTCTGCAAATTTCAGGGTATTTTAAAGCAATCGTTTTGTGCTTTAAAAAAAAGAAGCAGCCTGGCCAGTATGGTTCGGTGGTTGAGTGGTCAACCTATGAACCAGATGGTTGTGGTTTGATTCCTGGTCAGGGCACATGCCCAGGTTGCAGGCTCGATCCCCGGTAGGGGATGTGCAGGAGGCAGTTGATCAAGGATTCTCTCTCATCATTGATGTCTTTATCTCTCTCTCACCCACTCCTTTCCTCTCTGAACTCAAAAAAAACATCATATATATATATATATGAGTCCATCTTCATAGCTCTTATTCCAAATTTCATAAAGTATGTCAAGTAATCCTGAGTATGTTGCTTAGTCTTTCCCTGGGTCTTAGTTTTGAACGAGAAAGTATTTCCAGACAATCTTAAAGGGAACTAGAAAGATTAATGGGATGGTATTCAGTAAGGTCCTTGTTTAAAATAGGTTTTGAATGTTCCTATTAATGCAATGTGAACTCTAAGTCGTATGTTAACCTCTGATTGGTGAGAAAGTACTGCTGAGAGTCACTGGATTCCCATGACTCCCTCTACCTACTAATAACTGAATACAGCAAGTTAAATTCAACCAAGAAACAGACACAAAAAAATCTTTTTTTGGTCTTGTTTTCATAAAAGTTGACTTCTAAACCCAACAGTAATATTTAGACAGACAGATAGATAGATGATATATGTATCTATAAATACACATATATGTTTCTGTACATATATATAAATATATACATGTTTTTAAATAAGAAAAACCTAGCTACCTGTTCACCAGGATATGATCCTTGGGATGAAGGGTCTGAAAATGTCCCCAGGATCCCACATTGTCAGGCTATGACATACTCCTTCCTGAGCCCCACATTTAAGAATAGAGAATATTAACACCTGCTGGAAGTGATGCAAGAACACTCCATAGCAGGACAATGGGGAGAGGCAACGGGAGATTGCTCCCAGGAGAAGGACTTGAAGGCAATCTAACCTCATCCTGTGGTTCTCTTAGGCTATGAAAGGATGGAACACAGGCAGAGGGTAGCCAGGACGCGGGTCCCATTGTGCAGTGCAACTACGGCATGAAGGAAGAGTGGTGTCCACAGAAGCACCATCAGAGGCCTCCTGTCCAACGTGCCACGCACCCTCCCCATGCAAGTGGTTCTCCCAGCTCCAGCCATGTCACACATGCACCCAAGACTGCTCCTTCCTCATCAAACAAATACTTGTTTTGAGCCTACAGTGAGCCACCAAGCACAGTCCCAGCCCTCACTGAGCTAGCGAAGAAGACAGACACAGCTGAGGAGCACTAGGACATTGGATACCCAACATGCTAGGAAAGCCCCAGCACATAGATGAAACCTACTGAAGGTTCCAGAAGTCTTCCTGGGAAAGTGCAACCTAAGCTGCTATGTGGAGACGAAGAGAATTTAGCCAGGCAAACGGCAGTCAAGAAGAACCGGAAGAACTGTATTCCCGAGTCAAGGTGGCAAGAGGCAGGGCAGAATTTTCATTAGGTGAAAGGAGTTCATACCTTCTGTAGAGCAGAGCGCAGAAGCCAAGGGAGCGAGTAGAGAGAAATGAGAGCAGAAATGCAGCAGGAGCCCTTGGGAAGAATTTTACAAGCAAGCTGAGGAGTTTGGACTTGTGAACAAAGGGTTTTTTAGGAAGGGGGTGTGGTACTCAGATGTACAGTGTGGAAGAATCTCTGGCTAGCCAGTGAGGAATGAATGCTTCTCAAAGGAAGGGCTGTAGAGCAGGAAGCCCTCAGATGTATGGGTTGACTCTATGCTGAACAAGCAAACTGGAATCACCCACGGATGGCTTCTTGAGGTTTGACTGTTGACTTACTTGTCATCATATCTTCTTCTTCCAGCTGGTTGATTCCAAAGAGGTGCAGTCCACTTGCGGGGATGTTGTTCTTCAGGGACTCAGTGAGCAGTTTATCGAGTGTCTCTGTGTTGTAGGGCACAATTTTAAAGGCCTGAATACAAAAGTGAAGACAGTCAGATTTTAAATCAAGCTATCCCCACCCAGCAGATTCAAGGCTGATAAACCAGGAGCTGAAATTACATGTCCAGAAGACTCAGGTTTCCTTTCAACATCTTTACCTGACACATGAATTCCACAGGATTCGCAGCATTGGACAATAAATTCCCGATTTCTTCCATGTCAGTGTAATAGCTGATACTGGCTTCGCACACCACTAAATCCCCGGAATATATCTTCAGAGAAACATTCCCAGATGAAAGGGCTGAACAGAAGAAAAGATACTATAAAAGTGCCCAGGAAGAACAAGTGTCCAGGGAAAAGTGTTTATGGATTCGTCTTAATGGTGAAGAAATTAATTGGGGGCTGGAAGAAAGAACTTGGAGGTGAGCTGGGGGTGGGGAAGTGAGGGAAAGGACAGAAACAGATGAAGAGCAGACTAGCACATGACAGGGCTCAGAGTCAGAGGAATTATTCTCATTGGGTCTGAAATTTAATTTTTGAATGATTTTCATGTTTGTTCAGTACTATAGGTCCAGTGCTACAATAAATAGGAAGAAGAGTTGAATTTAAAGCAATTTATATAAAGGCCAGTGGTTGCCAGAAGGTGGGAGGGATCCTGGTAGGTGGCACTCCACACTTTGGTCACATCTGGCCAGTAGAACTGATTCACTGCGCTGCTGTCATTATATGAGCTCTCTCTGCGTGCTCTCTTCTGCACCACAGGAAGGGGTTTTGAGGGGAAAAGAAAAAAGTAAAAATACCCCAACCACAAAGATTCAAGTCATAAAAGAGGAAATGCGACAAGTAGAGAACATGGAAAAAATTCAACCTCACTAGTAATCAAAGAAATGCAAATTAAAACAATGGGCTACTTTAAAAAACATATCAAATTAGCAAAAGTATTTAATGATGATGGTGATGGTATAGCAAAATAAACTCAACAGTAGCAATATTTCAGAAAGCATTATTTTCCAGGATCCTTAAAAATACCCATTATTTCAGAGATTCCATCTGGAGGAAATAATCCTAAATACAAAAGGAAAAAAACATCTGCTAGCTAAGGATGCTCAGTACTTATCATAATTTAAAACAATAAAAATACAATAAGAAATCGGAAATTATATAAATATGCAACAATGAGGAAATGAAAAATTAAAAGATAAGAGTTATTTTCAACTGAGTGTCATGCAGCTTTAAAAATTATGGTTAGCTCAGCTGGCGAGGCTCAGTGGTTGAGCATCAACCTATGAACCCGGAGGTCACGGTTCAATTCCTGGTCAGGGCACATGCCAGAGTTGCGGGCTTGATCCCCACTGGGTGGCGTTCAGGAGACAGCTGATCAATGATTCTCTCTCATCACTGATGCTTCTTTCTCTCTCTCCCTCTCCCTTCTTCTCTGAAATCAATAATAAAAATATTTTTTAAAAAAAAGTATGGTTATAAGATATAAGTCCAACACAAGGAACTGGCTTTATAAATTATGGTGCATCTAAACAATGGCTTACCTTGCAACCAGTAAGCATCATGTTGTAAAAGAATATTTATTAATGTGGATAATGGAAGTGGGCTACGAGACAGTATGAAGCCATGTACATAGATGTGGAAAAATACAGAAACCAGTGATTTCCTTTGGGGTGGGCATATGGGTAATTTTCTACATACTTTCCTTTATGGTTACTTTATTCTTCATGTCTTCTGTATTGAACACACATTATTTTTGTAACAGAAAATAAATGTGTTATAAAATGGAAAGTTATCCCCTAGCTGGTTTTGTTCAGTGGATAGAGCATGGGCTCGCAGACTGAAGGGTCTCGGGTTCGATTCCAGTCAAGGGCACATGCCTGGGTTGCCGGCTTGATCCCCAGTAGGGGGCATGCAGGAGGCAGCAGATCAATAATTCTCTCTCATCATTGATGTTTCTATCTTTCTCTCCCTCTCCCTTCCTCTCTGAAATCAATAAAAATATAAAAAATAAATAAAATAAAATGGAAAGTTACAAAGTCCATGTAATAGCATGGGGAGAGAATAAATCTAAGATTACATAAAAAGAACAGAATATCAGGTAAGAGATACTACTGAAACAACTATGTTTTTAAAAATTGTGAAAAAGGCCCAAAAGCCTGAATGGTTGTCTGATGACTTTTTTTTCCGACTTTTCTCTAATTTCCAGGAAGTTTAATATGTTAACTTTCTAATGATAAAAATTTTAATATAGCCATTGTGGGTCCCTCCCCCTCTCCCCCCCCCCCCCCCCGCATCACACATAGATGTTTCTGCCATTCCTTTTCCTTTAAGCAGAACATGACAACCAAATCCAAACCTTGGCTGACACTTTGCTCAGCTGCTGAACAGACAGACAAGTAAAAGAAACAAGAGGGGGCCTCTTCCCTGGCATGATGCCTAATCTCTGGAGGTACCTGGGGCGACTTACCGGGAGCCTTCACGGACACGGTGTACTCATTCTCCAGCTTGCCTTCCACCCTAATGGAGGGAGAATCCTCTGGAGAAAATTCGGCTTCGGTCGTCACTCTCTCGTCCAGCTTACATCTCACAATGACGTAGATAGTGGTTTCTGCCTGAAACGGGACACCAGTCATCACCGCCTTTCCCTCCTGGGTCCCCTACTAGGGTGCCCAGCCAGCGGGTCTCCTGCTCCCTGAGCCCCAGCCTTCTCTAGGGAGGCTGTTCTAGAACAGGGTGGGTCTGCGGTCCACTGTTTGCTTCAGGTCCCAATGATACAAGTTCCCAAACCCAAGAGTAAACATTTATAAACCTTTATAACAATTTGATGGAGTAATCCTTTGTATGTTGAACCTAATAGAAATAATTTAAAAACCCAAGTGTTATATTTTATATGCCTTATGATTTCATTTTTATAGCTTCTCTTTTATATTGTATTTGATAAAAGCATCGGTCCATGGCAGAATTGGAAATTTAAAAAATAAAATTTCTAAAAGTTCCTCACCACAGACAGTTGGGGAAGCACTATTCTAGACTAGTCTTGCTACCCAAAGTGAGGTCAAGGGACCAGAAGACCTGATTCCCCTGGAAGCTTGTTAGAAATGTAGATGCCCAGGCCCTACCTGGACCCACTGAACCAGAGTCTGATTTTACCAAGACCTCGGGGTACGCATGCACCTTATAGTGGGAGAGGCACCTGCCTAGAGAAGCTCTTTTGTTCTGCAACTGAATGCTGTTCATGGAAAGACAAAAATAACTTACTGGGGGATTAATTCTCCAAAGGCACTGAGCAAATTGAATAGCTATTTTGCTTTGTTTTAAGATCTCTTGCTGAGCCTGCCAAATAGAATTATCTTGTTTCACTGGGCTGGGGAATGATCCTCCAAGACATTGAACTGGTAAGAATAGCCCCTCCCCCTCCTACCCCCCAAAAATAAACGTGCAAAGGAGATATTTCTGGCCAAAGTGAATCCCCAAATGTTTATCCTAAGATTCTGCTATAAAGTCCTCACAGTACCCCTCATGACAAAGGCTGTGATTTCACAACAGATGAGGAAGGGGCGTGGTCCTGGCTCCTGGGGGCTGCTGAGGCTGAGTGTGAATGTGTTGTGGTTAATCTGACTCCTGCTGCAGGCCCAGCCAGCTCCTCCTCCCAGGGAGTGTGGGGAGCCAGACAGAATGACTGTCTCTGTTCTATTGACAGTCAGGACCCAACCCCAGCCCAGCTGCCTCAGGACCCAGAGATCTAGAGTAGGCAACAAGGAGCACGCATCCTGGGTTAGGAAGAGCCTAGATGGGAGAAGGAACAAAAGCCTGGAGAATCAGGGAGGCATGCGAAGGGCATCGTTCTTTAGTCCCAAACCCGGCACTGATGGCACCCACCATCCTGATTACAGGATGAGTAGCAGGAAGGAGTGCGGAGCGAACTGGGAGAAGCGTGCTCCATTTAAATGGCTGCTTGGCCCTGCCAGTCATCTCAGGCCTGTTGTCACCAGATTCTGATTCCAAGAAAGCTGGAAACACAGATTTTCACGCCTAATTTTTAAAACACTCAGCAGTCCAAAACAAACATGTTTGGGTTCCATCCAGCCCAAGCAGCGGTGTGCAACCCTCATGTAGAAAGTCCTTGCCTTGTGGCCTCAGGCAGCATGGAAAACCACTCACACGGCCAAAGAAGCTGGTCCTTCCCATTGCCACAGCTCTCCCGCCCTCGTCTCAAGGAGCTCACAGGGGCAATTTAGCACACTTATCCACAGGAAGCATTTTGCTGCTCTGAACTAATATAACACGTTGTTGATCAGGAAAGGAAACACCATGAGAAACTATCAATACTACAGTAGACTTCAAATGACAGTGGCCCTCACAAGTCACCTGTTAACTTATGTCCCATCCCTGAAAATGATACATTATGCTTAGGCATCAATCTTATCCCTTCAGCAAGCAACATTTGCCAGCACATTTAAGCCATCAAGCTCCATGGCACTCACTTGGGCCATGCCAGTGGCCAGTAAGTGAAGAAGGCAGCTCTCAAATGCCTCTCATCCCTTCCTCCCAGAACTACACTCCGCGGGTGGCACAAGTGTCCTGTAGTGCTCATGTCTGCTGGTCTCCCACCTGTTCTAAGTTTTGGATCCATGAACTAAAAGTCTGAGATTGATGGCACATACATTCCTGGACTTGTCTCTCTTTCACTTCAAAGAGTGAGTTGTGCCCAAGGCCCAGGTACTGCGGTTCCCAGGGCAGCTACTATACAGGGAACCCCACAGGAAGGCTGGGATTACACTAAGGTGCAACAGGTGAACCCGACTCCCTTTACTCCAACAAATGCATCCATTGAAAAGCCTGAAAGCCCATGTTCTGACATCAGTCCCCCCGCCCCAGAAGTGCCTACCCCACAGCGAATGCGGTCTGGCTGCACCACCATCAGGTTCCCAGGTGAAGTTTCCAGCGGCAGGCTCTGCTGCTTCGAGTAGGGCAGGACCTTCTCGTCCTCAGTTTCAGTGTCGGTGACTGAGTCACAGCCAGAATCTACAGAACAGAGAACAATGGTGAATGGGAGAGAAGGAAGGAGAACTGATGGGCAGGTTCCACACCATGAAAGCCCCAAACATTACCAAATAGGAAATGGTTCTGAATGTTAAACAAATACAAGCTGAAGGGAGTGACTCAGGAACTCATGAAAGAGAACCTAATTATGAAAAGTCAACCACCACATAGGCCACAGGGAAGAGTGACAGCGAGGGGCTGAGGTGGAGAAGAAAGTCTGAGGCAGACTACTGTCTGAGGCTGGCAAGTCCAGGCTCAACCAATAGGTTTCCAGAAGCTTTACCTCGGGACTTATTGCAGGGCTGCCTTTGGTGGGCATGAGGAAAGGAGGTTCCTTCTCAGGTTGGGTCGAGAATGGACTGTCCATGCTCGGCCAGCACAGCTCAGTGGTCACAGTTCAATTCCTGGTCAGGGCATATGCCCAGGTTGTAGGCTTGATCCTCATGACTAGCCAATGTACCCTCTCCAGAGCCACAGTGAAAAGCAATCATTTTTAACAAATTTTAGAACAGTGTAACCAGGTTTCAGATCAGTACCACAGCTAACACCTCTACTAGAGCATGCACAGATTCAGAGCAGGTGAGCAGGGTTGTGCAGATGTGTGGGTGATGGCACACACAAAGATGGTGTTGAGATGGTGTGAATGGAATCTGCCAGAACTCCAAGGCAGGGACTGTAAGCCAGGGTCCATCCATTGATAGGATGCTTGTGTGCAAGGTTCTGTGTGTGCATGTGTGTATGTTTGCCTGTAGTTTTCTGGAGACAGTTCTGAGATTTAATCAGATTCTCAGAGACAAATGGTAAAAAATGGTTAAGAGGAGAGGGAAGGTTCACCGTCCTTTTCTTGGGCTTGCTGTCTGCATTCCAAAACCACTTACAGAGCCAGCCAAGTATGATAGGCACTGAGGGGACACAAGGATGGACCAGACATCAATCCTGCCTTCATAGAGCCCACAATCTAAAAGGGTGGCTGGGTGAGAGGTCAGGGTTAGCTTGGCTGATCCCTACAGGAGGGCCTCCCAGGGAAGGAGTTGGCCTCCTGCAGAGCTTGTGGTGATCAGTGCTGGCAGAAAGCTGAGGTGACTGGTGGACATGTCCCCACAGAAAGCTATAACCACAGGCTTGCACGCTAGATCCCAGTTCATGCCAGCAGAGAAGCTGTGCTCCCACAATCTTGAAGGCTGAGGTGGGGGAGCAGAGCTAGGGACAAGGTCCTAGGCAAGGACCCACAAGACCTGCTCAGGCCAGGGGAGGGGCTAGAGCCTGATATCTGTGTTGACAGGTGTCTACTCACTCTCCCAGAGTGTGATGGGCATTGAGGCACACAATCCTACTGCTCCTCCCTCTCCATATTTTCTCCCAAGATGCATTATTCCAGAAGGCCTGGCTGAGTAAGTCCAGATCTCTGATCTTATTTGTGCAACAGAAAACCAGGCAGAATATAGTGCTAAGAGATGGGGCAAAGGACGCTGGGAGTTCCAAGGCGGGTAATATTGTTTTTCACTAGGCATCAGAGCTATCATACTCCTATATCTCTCCTTTCCTTTCCATTCCTACTGACTCCCCTCGCTCAGTGCTAATATCCCTCTCCAGTCATCTCCACCTCCCTGCTCTCTCAGCCAAATAAACTGAAGGCTACCATTTTCTCTGCTGGATCTGCCCTTTCCCACACCCTTCTCTCCTTGATCAGCTATTTTTAAAACATCTAGGGCCCATCTCCATGGACAGAGCTGCACACACCACCCAAGCAACTCCCATTGACCATGGAGCCTATGAATGAGAGAGACCAAAAGATCAGGGATAATGAATATTACTCTTCTTAATAATTACATGCTATCATATCAAGCTTCAATTTTTTATTATTAGATGACTGAGCATCCCGATTTTTCATTTCTGAGGTTCTTCCTGGAAGAGAAAATAACCCTACTGACTTAAAACATTCAATCAGTTACTTAAAACTGCAAAACACTACCCAGAACTACTTATTAGTCCAGAATTGTTTAGACACTCTCTTGCCAATTACCTATTCTAATTTATTATACAGGCATAATCTCCTTGGGATAGACCAATCTACCATTGCTTCAAAAAAGAAAAACCTCTTTATTTCTTCTAAATTGCTGACCCATTTGTCTAGCCAAAGAGTCAAAGCTCTGGTAATTACAGTTAACAAAAGAATAAAGAAAATATAAATAAGCCTAATGAGAAAAAGATAATAGCAGATATGAAGAATTTTTAGAAACACATTGATGTGATAACTCTATGCTCAGAATTTTACAAATTTAAATACAATTTTTATAGAAAAATATAAATAGTCTCAAAATACGTAGAAAACCTGACTAAATCAATAATCATGGGAAAAAAACTTCATTGGTTTTCAAATAAGGCCATACACCATTTCTTGCATTGTTTTTTAAATTGTTGTTGCAATGATGTTCTCCTTTATAATATTCATTTTCCTATCTAAGAAAATTATCCAGCCCTAACCGGTTTGGCTCAGTGGATAGAGCGTCAGCCTGCGGACTCAAGGGTCCCAGGTTTGATTCCGGTCAAGGGCATGTACCTTGGCTGTGGGCACATCCCCAGTAGGGCGCGTGCAGGAGGCAGCTGATCGATGTTTCTCTCTCATCGATGTTTCTAACTCTCTATCCCTCTCCCTTCCTCTCTGTAAAAAATCAATAAAATGTATTTTTTTTTAAAGAAAATTATCCATATATATAAAACCCTAATAGGCAAATAGACGTAACAGTGGAACAACCGAACAACTGGTCGCTATGATGTGCGCTGACCACCAGGGGGCACGCATGGAACATGGCTGGTGTCAGCAGCAGGAGGCAGAGTGTAGAACATGGCAGGTGTCCACTGTGGCGGGATGGTGGAGCAGGTAAGCAGGAGTGCCAGACCCAAGGCAGGGCACCGGTCGCTGTCATTGGGCGAGCCTCCGGTGGTTACTGAAAATTCTTTGCTCCCGCACAGTCCTGCCGGGCGCTTGCACCTGCTGCTGGCACTGGCCCTGATCGTACCTGCTGCCAGCACTGGAGCCACCGTTCACACCTGCTGCCAGCACCTGGAGCCAGCCCAGATAGCTTAGCACCATCAACAAGGGTGAGCGGCAGCTACCAGCCCCGATTGCCCCTCAGGGCTTCTCCACCTCCCCGGCTCCTGAGGGGCGATCAGGGCTGGCAGCCGATCGCACCCGCTTCCGGCAATGGCCCCGCTTGCACCCACAGCGGCACAAGAGCCGCTGCTCACATCCACTGCTGGTGCCAGCCCCGCTTGCACCTGTAGCTGCGCTGGAGCCACTGCTCACACCCGCACCGGCGCTCGCCCCAACTGCTCCGTGCCCTCCGCAGGTGTGAGTGGGGCTGGCACCGTCAGTGCATGGGAGCAGGAGTGGCAGGAGTGAGGCTGCTGGCAGACAGGGGACCGGGGGCCATGGTGGGAGGGGCCGGGTAGGGGCCCAGAGGATGGGCTGAGAACCCCCTGTTCCCATAGCAGCCTTGTGGCCCAGAGTCCCTTTCAAGGTGCACGAATTCGTGCACTGGGTCCCTAATATATATATAATATGTATCCTACTAAAGTTTTTTAAAAAATCAAGGATACTTTTATTTTATATTAAAGTTATAAAAAATTAAATAGAGCAATTAAACATAATAGCCCACAAACCAAGCTTTGTTCTCATGAAAACATAGTATGTGATAAAGAAAGCATTAAAAATCAGTTTAGAATAAAGAAAATAGTTGATGAGAAAAATGGCTCAGGAGATGGTGCTAGAGAAATTTAGCTATTTGGGATGGGTGTGGAGGGGCAGAGGGGTTATTTAGAGTCTTCCTAATTCTCATAATTTCCAAAATTAAATTTAAATGAATTAGAGATTGAAATTAAAATAAAGTAAAACAAATTTTAAAACTTAAAATGATGAAAATGTGGTTGAAAGCTTTATCATTGATTTAGGGAAAGATCTGTTCATCTTAAACACATGAAGAAATACAATCCAAACAAACCATAGAGTTGATGACATAAATTTAAAACTTCAATAAACAAAAATGTAAAAACATAAAAACTCAATCATATGTTTATAAAAGCATTAGTCATAATAGCCAAAAGTGGGGGAAAACCGAAGTGTCCATCAACTGATGAATTATATCATTCAGACATAAAAAGGAATAAAATATCAATACATGCTACAATATAGATGAACCTCGTAAACACTATGCTAAGTGAAATAAGCCAGCCACAAAAAACCCCACACATATCATATGATTCCAATATATGATATGTCTAGAATAGGCAAATCTATAGAGACAGAAAGTAGATTAGTGGCTGCTGAGGGCTGGGGAGCTGGGATTGGGTGGGGCAAGGTCAGGAAATGATAGCTAAAGGATATGGGGTTTCTTTTTGAGGTGATGAAAATACTCTAGAATGAGTTGTGGCAATAGTTGCACAAGCCTGTGACTATACAAAAAAAAATTATTGGCGGGAAGAGATTAACCTAAGAACATATGCATATATGCATGACCCATGGACACAGACAATAGTGCAGTGAAGGCCTGGGGATTGCGGGAGTGAGATAAAGAGGGTCAATGGAGGGAAAAGGGGGACACAGCTGTAATATTTTCAACAATAAATATACATTTTGAAAAATCATTGAATGGTACACTTTAAATGGGTAAATTGTGTTATGTAAATTAGATCTCAATAAAGCTGTTACCAAAAAAATCCCAGGGCAAATCACAAACTGGTTAAACTTTGAAATAAATATGCCAAGGAACTAATCTCCTTATATATATTAAATGGTCATAGAAATCCGTTTATAAACACCCAAAGCCCAATAAGTAGATAATTCACAAAGAAAGAAATACAAATTACCTCTCTCTCTCTCTCTCTCTCTCTCTCTCTACACACACACACACACACACACACACACACACACTCATTCATTATCACTAATCACCATGGAGTTACAAATAAATACAATTAACATA